CCCTGTGATAACACTTAGCCTCCACTCCTCTGATAATGCTCATCCTCTCTACACCCCGAATCCCATCAACGTTCACACTCCATCTATACGCCTGACAATGCTTACCTGAAAATGTTCAACACCCCACATGCTTCCAATGTCCCCACTAAAAATTCAGAACGATTTAACCTTCTAATTATCAGAGAGGTTCTTTTAAAAAATCATAGTAAGAACCATAAGCCACTTACCACGACATAGCTGATCTTACTGGATGTTACCTGAGCTGGTGACATCAGATAGGTCTGTAGCCGCCACAGTTCGTTCTCTTTGACAGGTCCTCTGCTGGATCCCATTGATGATGGCTCATTTCTCAATCAAGGACAGGAAGACCCGCTAGAAGGTTGGAAAATAGTAAGGGTGTACCTTTAATCAGGATCAGTGGTGGTTGCCATGGTATCGTTGGTGATAAGAAGACCTGGGCCATCATGTCTCACGTTACTTTATTTGGTATATCCCAAACAATAATCCAGTATTTACTGGGGAAGGGAAGCTGAGTGTTGACCGTTTGATGTTTTACATCTTCCTTCAGTTCCAGTTAATTTTGTGCTGCAAAATGCTGGAAGTCTTATTTCATCATTGTGCAGCAGTTCAATGGGCTTCAGATGGACAACGTGACCAGGAGTGGTTAGCTAATAGCAGCTTGGCTATTTGATTGATTAATGTGAGCTTATTAACATATCTCTGAATTAGTATAGGCTTAAACAATTTTGCCAAATTAATTTAGCCCAAACTTAAGAAATCAAGTAGGCCATTCAGCCCTATGTGTCTGTTCTATTATTTAGAAGTTCTTGGTTGAACTGATGATGGCCTAAACTCCTCCTTTCAGAGAAAGTCATTCCCTTGCTGGGAATAAATCCCAGGCAATGTGGTGATAGCATTGGCTTCTAACCATCAGACCATCAGGAAACTAAGTGAGGTTTCTGCCCAGGGTTTGAAGTTTCTTTAATTCATGAAATCCAAGAACGAGAGGAAGCTGCTACATTCTTTATTATACAGAATATTGGATTATTGGTGTTCGGGAGGGGTTTACATACAAATTAGTGAATCCACACACACAAAAGGGATTGAGTAACTATGAATCTCATCAACCTGTTACTACCTTAACATCAACTTTCTGCGCCAAATTAATCCGTTAATGTGTATTCTGATTTTGTGTTATATGCAGCATGTACAGAAATAGTTATTAATTGGTACCTGATTTCCAAGTGGAAAGATATAGCATACCATTACCAGAGTCCTTACACAGTTAAATACCAACCATATCTTTATGGGGTTATGGGAGACTTTAGTTCAATTTAACACAGCAAATCCAGGAAATCCTTAATTCTCAAGGGTGATTGATAGTGAGCTCTATTTCATGTGAGGGTAAAAGCAAATGTGGTGCAAATTCTCAAGAAAATGGTGCTGATTCACAATGTACAAGATCACTCTCACTCACACCTGAATGTCTCTGTCTTAACAGTGACATGAACGTTTAACTTGCCATTATTTTTACAACAAATTCTGGGTTCTGTTTTCATTATTTAGTTTCCAAGTTAGAACCCTTCAAGCTGTATCCCTTGATTCTACGGTCCTAAATAAGGTGAAATACCTTGTTATGTCTACATTTTACCCAGTATGTTTAGAATTTGCAAGAATATCATTGCTGTAGCTTTTATCTCAGTGACAGCATGCTCCAATTTACATAATCACATAACAATTATCTCTATCCTCTCAATCATTGTCTTTGTCTTCTTTTGCATATTCAGTTCAAACATTTTCTTTACTTACTTAGGCCTTCTTTTAGAAAAATGCTGAGCATTCCATTTGGTGCTCAGTTTATTTTAATTATAGGGCAAATTCATACATGATCTACTGGTCTTCTTCCTCCTTATGAGTTAAATGGTAGTCCTGCTCAATCAGATCTGTGAATCTTAAATGTTGTACCTTTGCTTCACATTCCATCTCGAAGGAAATCTATCATTCCTCCACTTCCTCAGCCATAATAGGACCTGCCAAACCTACTTGAACAAGACCAAAATTTGAAACTTGATCTCGTGTAATAATACAAAAGATATTTTCTCCACCTTGTATCATTAGGATGCCTCTTTTGCTCTTTTACATTACTCTGCGATATCTAAGCTCTTCAACTGCAGACTTGCCTTTAAAATAGACACAGGCCCAGCACAGCCAGTGGCAAAGATGCAGGAGCAGTGTACTTGGTTAACTCCAGCAATTATTTCCAGCAACACTTTGAGGAACTAGTGGTGATGCTGTGATAGGGTTAGGGTTATGTTTAGTGATTTTATGGGCCCCACACTGTTTGGAAGGTGTAAAGAAGCCAGACAATAATATGAAGGCAGTCTTTATTGTTTCCATGAACCTAATGGATTTTTATCCATCACAGACTTGCCACTGATTTCCTGTTCTTCCTCCCCTTTCCTACCAAAATGTTCTGCCAAGAGTAAAACTGAAGGTACGATTGTCATGTTAGAAAATTAGTCCACAAGATTCAGGTATATTTCAGTCAGACTAGTTTTAATGCTGTTTGACCACATGGGTGCCATAGCAGTTTTGTAAGTGCGTGGATGGTCTTTAAGTGTCCAAAAGGGGGAACCACACTCCCATAATCCACACCCGAGCTGCCTCATCTGCCATGTTGGTAAAGGTGGAAAGACAGATCTCTAGGACCTATGTCCAAAGCAGATATAAAGACTTTAGTTTGCAAATAAGACTTCTAACAGTCACTGTTGCCTCACAGTGCCAGGAACCTGGGTTCAATTCCAGCTTCGAAGGCTACACATTCTCCCTGTGTCTATGTGGGTTTCCTCCCACAGTCCAAAGATGTGCAGGTTGGGTGGATTGGCCATGCTAAATTGTCCATAGTATCCAGGGATGTGCAGGCTCGGTGGGTTAGCCATGGGAAATGTAGGGTTACAGGGATAGGGTGGTGGGATGGATTCTGGGTGGGATGCTCTTCGGATGGTGGGTTTGGACTCGATGACCCAAATGGCCTGCTTCCACACCTGTAGGGATTCTATTCTATGAACAGTCTTTTGATCTCTCCTTTGCAAGATAGGTCAGTCCTGGATTCAGTTCTTATAAACACTGCTGGTGGCCTCCATCAATAAGGTAGATTGGCTGAAAATTATTTCACAGAATGCAGAGCCAGCAGAACACCAGTGTCCTCAAGCTCCACTTGAACTCCCTGATCCCCTTTAATTCACTTCTCCTGCTCCCAAACATTCTCTGCTCTTTTCCAAAGTGGCCAAAGGTTGCTGTCAGTGAAATGGTGGCCTAAGATCTAATTTCAGTTCACAGATAATCTGCCTGAGGATTGGCCAAGCATCTCCCTCGAGTTCAATGTTAACTTTAAATGGGGACAGAAGCCCAATGTTGTGTGTGTCTCAAGCCCATCAGTCCTGATGCAAAGATCTTTCAGTGGTTGCAGTTAGGGGTCAGCAAGATCCGATCTTACCCAACATCAGGACACAACACCCCAAAGCACTTGAATCCAAAAAATGGTCAAACTCCTCTCCCCTGTTCTATGTGGTAGCAACTATTCTGCATGCTCTGTAGTTTATTAGGACCAAGTCACTATTTGAGCAACATTTGATAATGTTCCATTGCCGGTTAAAAAAGAAGCAACAGTATCAGTAATTTCAATTTAGTGAAATTTTATTGATGGTTATTGTTCAACTGATCATACTGCATGCACATACGATGACAAAGAGAAAGCCTGGCCACAACACTTTCCAGCAGGTTTTTAATCGCATAGGTATATCACAGATTGTGGGTTGATATTTACTAAGTGCACGCCATGAGGCGCACACAGTACACATGAGGAGTATAACTAAGAGGTGCAGCAAAAAGGCAGAGGAAAAATTTTGAAGCTGCATTATTACAAAAAACAAGGAGACCTGTGACAAACACCCCAACTTAGGTACTGTTAAACAGGACAAAGTGAACGGATTCCAGCATACGCACAGACAAGCTGCAATTTTTCAAGGACGCTCAAACAAGCTGACCCAACAACTTGCTTACATTGCGCTTTTAACACTGAAATGGCCCAGAGGCGGAATCGGCTTTCTAATTTCGTGATTTATTAAAGCATAATAAATAAAATGCTTCCTTTTTGTGAACACTATTTTTTTAAATTCGGTCCAGTCCAAAAATAAAAGGCCTCCTCTGAAAATAACGTAACAAAATAACACAAGCTGTCAAGCAATGAAAAATTGCTGTTTGTTTACACAACACAGTCATGTCTCAAAAGTACCAAGCTGACGAAAATATCATGATTATCTACACTTAATGATTGCAATACTTGTAAAATGCTTATATAAATCTGAATATGATTATCATGTATTCCATAAAAATGATACGCCTTACAGTTGATCTACTATGCTAATTCTAAAACATCATAGGCTGTGTAATCTATAACTGAACATTTCCACTGCACAATTTGAAATTTATTTATACATTTTACTGGTACAAAGAACCTAGTTTATTACTTTCCTTCTGACAAAAAGAAAAATATAAACAATGCTTTATCACCATTTTTGAATGTTTTTCCCTCCCATAATACAAAAGTCAGCAATGATATCAATAATTTATATATTGGAAGTAATATAAAAAGAATGCTCATTGATGGCCTAACTAGCAGATTTACTTAAATAGACCTATCTATGGTTGAACTGCTGAAATACTGCCTGGTGGAGTATCTTATAATTGAATGGATGCCCCTACTGAAACCTTATGTACAAGTGCTGAGAAACATCGAAAAACATAACCTTTGGCTTGAACAAATAGTGAATAATTTAAGACAATTGATAGCAAGATTCTTGGTGCAGTGGTGCCCTCTTCAAATCTATATTATGCAGATTGACACCCCTTCCCTTAACCCACCCTCTTTCTTGAAGCAAACAAAATTGAAATGAAGAAAAATGACTCATTTAGTCACTTGCAATCCTACAAAACAGGTGAGAATTCCAATCGCTGCTATTCTGCATCTTTATATCATATATATGTGTCTCGGTGATTTTGGTTCTCACAGTTCTTGCATCTCACAGTCTTTAAATACCATTAGAAAAGCAGCTGCTTTTGCCAATAATCAGATATGTAACTTCCAGAAATTAAAACCCACTTATTAAAATACACAGAACAAAATATCTGAGGTATAAGATTAAAAAAATGTAGTATTTTCCTCTTTTTAGAGTTGCTAAAATGATGCACTACTGCATGTATTGCAATACCCAGGCCTTGGAAAAGCTTCTTTTTTTCCCCAGCAGAAGATTTAATGGTATGTCATTTAGTATGGAGCAAAACGGCTGTATCCCCCTCGGTATATACTAGCCTGCAATGAAGAAAGAACGAGACCGACATCATCAGCAAGGCTCCTAGTCTTGGCATCAGTCAAGGGTGCAAAAGCATTCTGAAACAAAGTGATGGATTTAATTATCAAAATGACTAATTATTCCATTAAGCCAAATGTTCAGCTAGGTGATACTCACAAAATTAGAAATATAATAACTAACATGCACTACATTGCCAAGAAATTAAGACATTCATCAAGTTTACTGGAAGGATTAATGTGGCATTTTAGCTGCTGTTAGCACCAGAGACAAATTCAATTAAGTTAAACTGAGGATATGCTAGCAGAGATTGAAAGAAAGAAGATGCAGGATTGAAGCAGCAAGAACAGATACAACAGAATTAATAATAATCTTACCACGGCACCAACGCCGTAGGTGGCTGCTGGAGCAAGTGCGTGGTGGTAGGGGTCTGCAGCATAAACTCTTCCGTAACTGCAAGAAAAGGAAGGGAGGATCAATTAAAACCATACACGGAAGAGAAAGGAAGTACAACAAAGCTACAGTATACTATAGGAATCACTTGTTGGAGTTTGACATAAGGTGATGCATACTGGTAAAATAATGCAAACAGAAAATACAAAATGTTGAACAAAAAAGCAAAGCACATCTTTGTACCCTGTATATTAGTTCCTAATGCTTGTAAAGTAATATTCTCATGTGATATTGAATTCTTGTGAGGTCCTCATCATAAACCAGTTCTCTACATCCTACTTGTCTAATGTGGAAACATAACACTGGGGACTATGCATGAGGAGACAGGCAGTGGACTACTGAACCCTCATTACGTAGTAAACGAAAATAGGTATATTTCTCTTTAGACACGGGTGTTATTAAAAAAAAAATCACCTGAGCTGTAAGTCTCATTGTTTATCACACTTCCATGAAATTTGTTTCTTGAATTGCCTTACAACATACGTAGAATCAAATATTTGTTTTCTTTTTATGTTTTGTTTGAAATATCACTTTAAATTTGAATCAAAATACATTACACTGTGATTTTTATTTGCTACCCTAATGCAAGATGTATGTATCTCATTGGATATCCTGATTCTGCAGACCACAGCCAAGCAAAGACAATGAGCAGCAGACATTTCATATCACTGTTTCTATTTGTACTCTTGAATAGGCAGAAGACAAATTAGATTTTATTTTGTCAATTTAACTTCATTTCCTCTACAGAAACGATCTCCTTGTACGACACAGATTAGCTTGGAAAGTGACAGCGTAAGAAATGACAATTGAGAATTTGTTTCTGACCAGTCCTGATGCAGCAATGTAAATGCATCAACTTCTAGCACCATGGGGACAACCAAAGGACAAGCCAGTGGCAATCATTATAATGTGCTTCATCTTCCCTTTAAGAATCTCAGCATTTTCATGGGTTATGGGAGACTTTAGAATTGATACTATAAAGGAAAATGGTGACAGCAAGCAAGGCGAATGTATTTTGCGTAGCCAGAAGAAGAGTTACTAAGCTAAATATTAAGATGGAACTGTTTGGACAGCAAAAATACGTTACTGCTACTGGCAACCTACATTGAACAGCTCAAGTGGTTCATTGTTCTGAAATCCGAACTACTGATTTTTATGAAGCAGTTTTTTTGTAATAAGTTACTTTTCACTAAAGCGTTTTACAAAAGAAGTGATCCTACTACATTACAAGGCCCCATCAGTTTAATTATGCTATCTAGTGTGGATACTTTTCTCATTGCAAATGGCTCATTAATGCCTACTTATCAAATTGATAATTTATTCTCCATTACATTGCCTTAATGAAAGTGTCTTCAGCTTTAACATGTTCCTGCATTTACTGTGTATGAGCTCTGCAGAAATTTGCTCAAAATTACTTAGTGTTATCATTTTAAAATGAGCCATGATACAGACAAATCAACTGTAATTGCAAAGTTTTGGAGAGTGACCTTTATTTCACATTGTAATGAGTGAGAGATAATGGAGTAGAAATTAATATTTTTGCTTGTTTATGGATTCAATATTTCCCAAATCTAGGTATGAGGTGTTGACATCTGCCAGAGACATGTTGGTCTTCACTGATTTTACTTATCCTTAGCAACCATTAGGAGTGGTATCGGATCAGCTTAAATATGCAAATTGAATTCCTTCGTCTGTTTCGGGACATTTCTGCCAAGTTACGATTATTTTTACCAGTTCTATGACAGCTGAATTTGTACTTCTTAAATGGCCTGCTGGAGGCCACTAAAAAATGTGAATAAGATTATGTTTCACTTCTCCTTTGGAGTTGGTTGTATTCCTCCCAGATGCACAGCACTGGAGAGAGCTACTCAAGGTATGCACTCAGCAACCTCACATTTTTATCTGTTTGTTCATCCTAAGACTCCCTTGAAGGCTAGTGCCTGTGGCAAAAAGTCAATATGTGCTCTGAGACCTTGGAGGTGCTCCAGCAGCTCGCTATTATTAAAAGGAGCTCCAAAGTTGAGTGAATCTTAGCTGTCCAGGTTGCAGCCCATTTTTTAAAAATTACATTCACTCATAGGATGTAGGCATCGCTGACTGCATCAATGTTCTTTTCTCCCCCATCCCTAGTTGCCTTTGAGAAGGTGATGATGAACTGTCTTCTTGAACCGCTGTAGTCCATGTGCTGTAGGAAGACCAACAATGTCTTTTAAGGAGGGAATTCCAGGGTTTTAACCCAGCGACAGTGAAGGAACGGCGATAAATTTCCAAATCGGGATGGTGAGTGGCTTGGAGAGGGAACTAGCAGGTGCTGGTGTTCTCTTGTCCTTCTAGACGGAAATGGTTGCGGCTTTGGAAGGTGCTGTCTCAAGATCGTTGGCAAATTTCTGTAGTGAGTTTTACAGAGAGTACATACCGCTGCTATTGTGTGTTGGTGGTGGAGTGACACTGAATGACACCACATCCACAAACAATCCATCAAGCTGCTTTGTCCTGGATGGTGTCAAGCTTTTTGAATGTTGTTGGAACATCACTCATCTAGGCAAGTGAGGAGTTTTCCGTTACACTCCTGATCTGTGCTTTTCAAATGATGTACAGGCTTTGGGGAGTCAGGTAGTGAGTTATAAGCTAAAGTACTCCTAGCCTCTGACCTGCTCTTATAGGCACTGTAAATTATAGGCCGAGTCCACTTGAGTTTTTTATCAATGTTAATCCCCTTGGATGTTGGTAGTGGGGTATTAAGTGATGGCAAAACCATTGAATGTCAAGGGGTGGTGGTTAGAAATGTCTCTTATTGAAGATGGTCAGAATGACATTTATGTCACATGAACATTACTTGCGATATTGTCCAGGTGTTGCTGCTTCAGGATCCGAGGAGTTGTGAATGGCACTGAACATCAGCAAATATTCCCACTTCTAACCTTACAATGGAAGGAAGGTCATTGATGAAGCAGCTGAAGATGGTTGGATCTGGTACACTACCCTGAGGAACTCCTGCAGAGATGTCTTGGAACTGAGATCACTAACCTCCAACGATCACAACTATCTTCCTGTGTGCCAGGTATGACCCCAACCAGAAAAGAGCTTTCCCCTTCATTCCCATTGATACTAGTTTTTGTTCATCCTTCTGGATGCCTCCTACTTTGGGCACAAAGCACTCACCAATTTGTACCTGAATTTCCCAAGGTCTAAACCACCAAAGCTTTCTTATCAGAATATTAGGCTCTTTGTCAGATAAACAAAATTTTCCAAATAACCAGTGAGACGGGAGGTGCTCTTATATATCTCTTGGTAGTTTAAAATGTGGCAAAAAGGCAACTTTCATAATGGGTGAATAAAAAGGATGTGGAACACACTGTAACATGTAACTGCCAAAGAGCAGTCAAAGACCTTGAGATATCAGAGGAGCAGGAAGGCTGCCGTTTCGGGCCTAGACCCTTCTTCAGAAATGCTGATTTCAGCCCATTTCTGAAGAAGGGTTGAGGCCCGAAACGTCAGCCTTCCTGCTCCTCTGATGCTGCTTGACCTGCTGTGTTCATCCAGCTCTACACCTTGTTATCTCAGATTCTCCAGCATCTGCAGTTCCTACTATCTCAAGGACCTTGAGATAAATTGTTCAAGTCTCGGTTGGCTGTTAATGCATTAGAAGATGATACGATGTGACTAACAGCAGGTCTAAAGGTCATGTCACCAATATAAGACCATCCATAGGTCATATAAAAATCAGATAGTCAAATGCCATTTGTTGAAAACATCTTCAAGTATTTTATTACTTTATACAGTTCAGTTCAGATCTGTAAAAATGTGAAAAGTAGTAACAGCATTATTTCTTAAGTAACTTAAAGAACCTGGCAACTGATGTAATTTGGAAGTGAAATAACTGCACAGTCAATATCAACAATGTTGCTATTCACAGTTGTAACTTGTCTGCTTTGAGAGTCAAATCAACCGAGATGTTCTTGTTTGCATATTTTGCAACAAAGCTATTGCACTGATGCAGCATCTTGAAAAATTTTACTTATTTTTGATGTTATAAACTTTACTATTTTTGTGAAATCTTTTATTCAATAAGACCCGGGCTGGCCTAGCATTGTAAGTCACTACAGGACCAAAATACTTTGGGATTCTGTTCCACTGACGCAAAAGTAGTGAAACCTTTACCTACAAACAAAATCTTGGGAAAGAGGTCATCTTTATGGTTTAATATACTAAAGTGCATCTGCAACTCACGTCTTTCCTTATCTGTTCTCAGGATATAGGCATTGCTGGCTAGGCCAGCATTTTTAATGCCCATCGCTAATTAAGAATCAAACACATTGCCATGAATCTGTAATCACATGTAGGCCAGACCAGGTAAAAATGGTGGATTTCCTTCCCTGAAGAACATTAGTAAACCAGATAGAGACATGCAACAATCAGCAGTGGTTGTATTGTTAAGCCAACTGTTCATTAAATTCCAGCTCAGTTGGCTGGATGGCTTGTTTGCAATGCAAAGTGATATCAGCATGGTTCAATCTCTGCATTGGCTGAGGTGACCATGAAGGGTCCCACCTTCTCAATCCCATCCCTTTCCCCTCGCCTGAAATGTGGTAACACTCCGATTAAACCCACCAACATTTTTTGTCTCTCTCTGATGAGACAGCAGCCCTGTTGTCTTCTGGGGTGAGAGTGACGTTATGTCACTTAATGCCTGAAGATGCTTGGGACTTTCTCAATGACTTCCCACATAACACGGGAGACAGTCAGAACATTCAATTACAACTCACTGTTGTGATTTTTAAAAAAAAGACAAAGGTTGAATTCTTTACAACTGTACTCTGGCCTGATGAAGCTGATCTGCTCATTTATTGCTCTTGATTGGAGCAACAATTTCAGACCATGTATTTTCCACTAATTCTGCAAGATTTACCAAAGCTGCAGTTGGCTACTTTTTCAAACATTATTCCACAAAATGACAGAATGCAGGCTATGCTGGTGAGTTCCAACAGAACTGGCTACAA